AAAATTAGGTCACATCAAAAAAGTAAGATCATATTCGTGATCATCAGCTCCTGGTGACTCAGATTACGTGTCTTAAAACGAAAAAGAAACTTTTGGAGCTTTTGCATTAGCGGCACCTCAAGAAGAATCCCATCGGAGAAAGTGATTTCCTACACCATGTAATTGATTCAAACTTCATCAAACATTGGATATTCTATTTGTACATTATGAAAAAGAATCCATTCCAAAATATTTAATGTTTCAAAGTACAAGATATAAGCGGTATGAATCGAAATAGAACATTTAACAATATTACTTGTGACAATATTTGTCTGTCGAAACCTCCAGTTAGATCGAGTTTCAAAATAATACAGTCTGTACTTTTCTTCGTAGTTTTACTTTACATTTCATCTATCACATCCAAATTCCATCGCCAAATAATGATACAATATGTGAATACCGAATATAGAAACTTTGCAAAGGTTGTACAATGTACATCTTTTTGATCTTAGTGAGACTTTTAAAATACATTCATTTATAGGAGAAAATTGAGTATAGTATTAACCAGTTTATTTGTTTAATTTAACTACTATTTATTCATAATTAACTGTATCTGAATAGTTTCTCTCTCTCTTGGTGCTTCCGCCCACTTTATACAAAGCTTCGAATCGGGATGATGTGACTATAGCCTCTAAAAGATAATCGTACTTTAGAAAACGAAAAAAGGTATTTGCATTTGTAACTAATAGAAATCTTTTTCGTTTTGTAAACTACCGTTTATCCGTTTTGTCCAATACCATTGACGGTATTTGTATCCGCAAAAACGGAAAAAGGTTTGAGAAATGGTTAGAATTAGACATCAAATTAGACGTCAAAGTTCGAGCCAAACTTCATCTGATCCTAGCATTAGGGCGTTTTACAGGTCTTTAATACAGAAAATAATATATAAATATGTTTAACGGAACATTCTTAACAATTGTATGAGAATCGTTGCTGCAGAAAACTTTAAGTTAGCTTATTATCAATTCTTAATATGCAAAAAAACTAGAGAAAATAGTTTGAAGTATACAATGTTAAACCAGAACCGGATCCGATTCTAAAAGTGAATCAGGTTTAAGATCTCTACCCCTTAACGAGAACCACAAAAATCATTTTTAATGGTTAAAACTAATTATAAGTAAACTTTCGGAACAAAAACCTCGAAAAAATCATAAATTATAAATCCAGTGGATTTCGTAGTCATTGAACGATCTCCTTTATAGTTTAGAATAGTAAATGTCTTAGTAAACGCAGCAAAAAATGGAAACAGAAAATAAAATCCAATCTGATCATATACTAATTATGAAAAATTGCTGCAGAATAAATGGTTCTGTATCTTAATTTTGGGAAGAATTAGGATTTAATTCTTCTTATTGTTGGTGAAATTGTTTAATTCTTGCTTCGATCTGAAAACAATATGCGTGTCCATATTCGCCGAAAATATTTTAAAATTCTGCTTGTGAATTTAGTTATCGTTGCTGCAACTTAGCCATGTTTGTAGTTAAAGAAAAAACCTAATATGAATTTCATTCTTTTATTTGTTTTCTTCTTTTATCTCTCTGTTTTCATATCACTTCTATTTTTCTATTTATATACTCTTTTTTGTTTAGCTTGAGTCATTTGTTATTATAGCTTAGGGTTCTTTAATGATTCTCAGGACTCCCACTCATGAGTAAATAAATAAATAATTATAAATAGCTCTGGATTATTCATTACATCTCACAGGTAGTGCTGCACTTACTGTGTTTTGCATAAAAACCAGCGACGTCGTTCTAATGTGTTGATTGAATTTTCAAAGAACCAATCTCAAGTATTCTTTCATTACTGTGTGAGTGAACATATCATATCATAATACAAAATATCATACAGTGACAGAATGGAATGAAGAAAATTGCAATATACATTTTAGTTTAGAATTTGTTTGAACTTGATAATTACACCTTTTGTTTTTGCTGTATAGGAACCATTTTTTGTTTGGATACGCTACTCGCAGAAAGATCATAAAGTAAACTTTTGTCGTGTACAGAGAAAAAAATAAGAATGATAAATGCAAACTTCCAAGCATAAGTATCAGCCAGCAGTTATGTTTAAACAGTTTTTTAGTGATTTTAAATTCTGTAAATCATATTAATTATTTGCGAAGGGCTAGGATTCTTTTTATTCATCACTGGCATCGGACATACACTTGTTTGTAGATGTCCACTCACTGGTTTCATCGCAATTTACTCAAGTCAACTGGTGTTGTCTCTTTTGACCATCGAACAACGCCCTCATCGACAGATGCCATGCAAATATGCAAGTACGTATAAAAATATTTGAATTGAAATCATGACCAACGAATTTTATCTGTTTTTCGGTCTTGAAAAACAGATAGTTAAACAAGTTTTAATTCCATGACTGATCAGTAGCCAGAGGATAGATAAATAGGGTCCATGCCTGTCCTTTTAAATTTCATTTCGGTGCAGTCATAATAGCTTTTTAAAGACTACATTTTTTTGTGAGTATCTGAAGGTGATACTATACTATTCTACTTTAAATCATAAGTTGTTTACTTTGAATCTTTTTTTTTAAATATCTAATATCTTCCTCGTATAACTGTCAAAAATAACGTTATTATCGGAGCTTCTTCATGTATTTTCTCTATTAGAATCTTATTAGCATTGTTGATAGAGTACTTCTTCCAAAACCTCTTCATCTTCAACTTGAGTATTATAGTTCTCATAGAGAAAGTAAAAATATGAGAAAAAAAGTTTCATGAACATTTCACGTGCGCTTACAGAAATCAAATCCTTTTACTCACGTATTCGCATGTCATTTCACAATATTTACGGGTGTGCACACTGTGTACACTACTAAAATTTCCACATGGGTTGCGTAAAAAAATAAACATACACCTAACTATTAATAGGTTAGTAAAGTACAAAAGACACACTATACCGAAAAAATAAAATAGCAAACAACCACTTAATATTACGTTATTTTATGGCACAAAGAAAAAAAAGTTATTCACAAGCTTTTTTTTACCAAGTTAAACAAAAACGATAAAAAGACGAGTAATAAAGCAGATTTAAAAAGGTTTACAGGCTTTTTTGACGACGTGGTCGGATGCACAACTCTGACTTTTCCCCACAGCCTATATTATATTTGCCTTACCTTTTATATAGTGATAAAGTCAGCAGGCAGATCAGATACGGCGAAAACTAGTGTTATTACCGTAGAAGTAAAACTGACGAGGAAAGGGTCCCAAGTTGCCAATTGTTTTTTCGATGAAACTAGGTGGACTATATGTAATTGATGACTTTGATTCCAAATATGAGCATCGGAGTTACCCTTAGACTTTTGTTGACTGGTATTCTGATCTTTGGAAAACAAGAGAATAAATCCAGAAACTTTTTCTGAATCAACCATTTTGTAGAAGACACAAAACTGTCTATGTTCTATAAGTTTTAGTTTTTCAAAATACCGTTGAACGATGCTATGATTTTTGCAAAGTATCCTACCGCAACATTTTCCCATCAAAACCAACATAGCCACTCTTTTGGGAAGTTTTCCTACGCTGTTGATTTTTGTTTTGAAAAACTAAAATTTATAGAACATAGACAGTTTTGTATCCTCTATAAAATGGCCGATTGAGAAAAAGTTTCTGGATTTAATCCCTCGTTTCCGAAGATCCAGTTTTCAGAAAACCGGTCAACAAAAGTCTAAGGGTAACTCCGATGCTCATATTTGGAATCAAGGTCATCAATTACAAATAGTCCACTTAGTTTCATTGAAAAAACGATTTGCAACTTGGAGTTCTTCCCTTGTATGTCTGATCGGTCAAAAAAAAGAGGGAACAATGTGGGCTTTTCGTTTTACAGCGTGATAAAACAGAATGAAAATGAGATTTTCAAGATCCGAGACTTTAGTCTCGCTTGTTCTATCAATGATTACAACGGTTGATAATAATCAAAGCAAACGCTATTTTTATTTCAGCCAATTGCGTCAATTACGTCACGAATTGTTAAAAGATTTGTGTGATCCATCGTTGGATCTAACTCTTGTACGAGATATATTTGATCAATATGTATCACTTATATTAGGCTTTATTATTTCGCCAGATGGCAGTTCGGATGACAGTAAATTGCGTTATACAACAAAATTTTATTACACTGATTCTTTAACAAGTACGTCAGTTATTACGTAAGTAAAGATGGTATTCATTTCAAGATACCAGATTGTATAGTTTCTTTTTCCTTTTGTAGTGATGTTCAAGATGCTCACTATGAACTATGTTGTATGATGATAAACATGGCTATTTGGTACCAAAAACACGGCGCTTTTGTCGCAGCAAAAAGTACAATGTGAGTAAACTTTTATACTGTCGTATTCTTTGATAACAACACATTGTATTGTAAGATGTAAAAAAAAGATAAGATAATTTGTATAAGATTAATAATAAGCTTTGTTTTCTTCATATATGATTAGAAACTTTCGATCAATATCTTTGATCCCCGTCATTCAATTATAGCGAATGAAATAAAGACATACGTTTGAATCATTTTTTAAGGTGAGAAATTTTAAAATAGATAATAAGATATAAACCACCTTTATCATGACAAAAAATATAGTTATTTTCTGTTAGAGACGTTTTGTCTTTATTCAAAAGACATCATCGGTCAAATATGACAATTGATAGTTGATTCTGAAGGGAGATTGATTATGTCTTTTGAATAAAGTCGAAATGTCTCGAATAGAAAATAAGCTATATTTGTTTTTATTAAGATATAGGTGGTTTATATCTTATTATCTATAATGCATACGTTCTTTTTCTTTTCTGTTCGATACTGTTCTAGTTTATGAACATAACAAAAGAGAGAAATATCGCAACTTTCAGTATTACAATGTTCCTCTATATCTTTATTACAATAAGATAAAACTTAAGATAAAACGTAACTCTCAATAACAATCAAAAATGTATAAATAAATATTCTAATAGAAATGACTGTTCATTGAAAGACAAAAAATTTATGACTGATGTTATTAAAAGCAGCAGTATGATGATTTTTCATTGTGATCAATGTTCATTTTATTTTTCTCTTCTTCAAATACATATCACGAGCCATGATGGTTGGTTGTAGAAATTAACCTAATATTTATTGTTTAGTATAAGATCAGTTGCTGATGATTTGCTTTCTTCTTTTACTATATCTCTATTTTTTATTATTCTCATAAATAGAATAATGTTTATTATTAATCTCATATAAAATATCTTTCATTAAATCTGGATAATTTTCTTTAGGCCAAGCGATAAAGATGCACTCGATATACATAAATCGATAAAAATATCGTCTGGTATCTTCAAACATGTTTTGGTATGATAATCATCTATTTATTACTATTGAACAATATTTTTTCTTGGTTGATTTTTTAGGATATTGAATTGCGAAAACTGACAAATGTTAAACTTCCACCGTGTTCAGATTTAAATGATAAAATTCTTGTAGCATATTATTATCAATCACTTGCTGAATTTCACGAAGGTTTATTTTGAAAATCTTGTTTTCTTCGATTTTTTCTAAATATATTTATCTTTTAGTTACTGTTGCTCGAGCAATAAATTCGAAACAAGATAATGCACTTATATCAAGTATTGCAAATCAGATATCGCAATATTTTGACATCGGCGGTTAGTCTAGAGTATTTTGAATTTTGTTATAAATTCATATTTATTCGTTAATATAGGCCAACAACTAACAACATTCGATGATAAAATCGTCGGTAAATGGAGAATGTATTTTCAGTTGAAAGCTAAATTTTATCTTGCTGAAGGAAATTATTAATATATGATGCAATTGAAACTATTCCCTTGTTCAAATTGAAAATCGATACTTTTCATTTTTAAGGCACGTGCATATCAAGCTCTAAGTTTATTGGATAAAAATGATGGCGGTGGGGCATTAAAAGCTGTTGAAGAAGCTTTCAAAGGTTAGAAATCATTGTAAATTGCTTTAAACTTTAATCTTGATCTAAAACGAAATTGAGAATATAAATTCCCAATATATCATTGTGAAACTTAAACTGTCAAAACACAAAATCAACCCTTACACGAAGCGAGGATCGAACATACGACCTTGATCTTTGCAGATGAACTGCAAAAATCGTGGATTAATTTGTTTTTTTTCTCCGGCTATTGTAGTACAACAACAAGCTAAAGCATTTTGTGATGAATATGCAAAACGTGATGCACCAGGCACTCAAGCAATACCACAACGTCATCCATTCTTTCTTCAACTCGAGTCGATGATTAAACGTATACACGATACAACAGAATTTGAAAATACACTAATGTGAGTACCAAATTTATATTCTTATTATTCTAACACTAAGTTTTTCTTTTTACAGACACCATAAGAAAATTGCTAACGAATGTCCACCGCTTGAACAAGCTACTCATGGTATTTTGCAAGCAGAAGAATATATAATGCCAAAACTGAATAGTCTGTTTTCTGCTGATGCTTATAGAGCATTTGATATCGGAAAAAATGTTGGTAAACCATATAAAGAAGATAAAAAAGCTCGTGAAGTTAAGGAAATGAAAGAAGTGCCTATACCACAAGGTTACGCTGATCCAAATCAAAATAGTTCATGTATTATAGCTTAGTCAAATTATTTATGTAAAATTGAAGAGTGATTATTGTCTATTTTGTTCTATTTATATGTCTATCATTTGTTTGTAAATATCTTTTTTACACGCTAATAAAAAAATGTTCATCTATCTATCGTTTATAGGATTTCCTGTGGCAGTATTGAACACCACCTACTGCACTTTTTAGTATGTATAACAAATGCTTCTGGTCTTGAAAAAAACAACAACAACTTTGAACATATTTTTATTTTATAGTTATCTGATATTTTCTACAGCACGTTCAAATATTGAATGCACAGTTTAGATGTCTAACTTTGCCGTAAAGGTTATATTGTATAATTCACTAATGCTTTTTTTTTTTTAACATATTTTCTTTCGTTTATGAAATGATGGCAATTATTAATCTTACGCTTCATTACGCACAGCATAGTAGAAAATTACCTTGACAATTGAAAAACTACACATCAGCTATTTTTTTTTTTTGACGTTTAAACAAAACTAATAATTTATGTTGACTTAGTAAGTTAACACTGATTATAGTCTACTGTTTTCTACCTAAAAGATATTATAATCATGTTCAACGACTTACATAAGTTTATTTAGTTAGAAATTTTGCTCTATTTCTTTAGGACATTGAACTGAAATAAATTTTTATCTCTATGGGTAATCAAGGTGTTTTTTATGTCCATTTTTATTCAATAGAAAATAAAATAATAAATATTGTACTATGCAAGAAAATAACCAATAACCAAATAAAGCAGTATAAAACGATAAAAAGGGAGCTCAGAGTATGTTCTTGACGTTTGTTTTTGAATTAAAAATTAAAGTCGTTAAAGTTGTTATGGGATAGAGAAGAAAAAAAAGGTGTGCTTTTTTGAGGTTTCTTTTTCTTATTTGTAAACAAATTTAGAACAGATATACTTTTTTTCTAATTAATCCATCATATATTATATATAATAGAGTTTATTATTCGAGAACAGTAATTTGAGAATACTTTTTAATCCTTCTACTAAATAGAAAAACATTTCTATGTTTTATTTTATTTTAAAACTTGTCTGATTGTATCATATCAACATTAAATCGTTAATATAACCTTGGTTTTTGGACATAATGTGACAAAGAATGTAACGTACTTGTTCTCTTTCGTCGTTCAATGAACGTATGTAAAATACAAAAGAAAAGAAAAAGTCTCTGATAGTGATCTGTCATTCTTATTCATAAAAAAAAAAAACTTCTTTGTTTGCGAAATCCTTAGAAATACATGTATTTTTAACAATGTTAAACAATAGAGTTTCGTTTTCTCTTTATTTTTACGAAAAAACTAAAGTTGAACTGTTTTATCTGTCCTTTTTTTTTAAATTAAAGAGGATTTTAAAAAATATAATAGAAAATATTTCCATATAGAATCGAATGACGAGTTGATAAATTTTCGTTAGCAAGACAAAAAGGTAAATATTTTTGCCTTTTAAATTAAAGAAGAAGAAAAAAAAAGAGAGAGAAAAAAGAAAATAGTCAACCAGTTTATAGTCGTTTTAATGCAAAAAAAATTTCTAAAAATTTCTATGAAATAATAGATTTCCATTTTTAAACAGTTAACTTGATTATTCTAAAACTCATTTTTATAACCAATACGAAAAGATTGTAAATTAGAAAAAAGAAAAAAAGCGCTTTTTATATTCGTGTTGATTTTTCGTGTGTGCATTATTTTTTAACATAAACAAAAACTAACATGAATAATATCCTCTTCCTTTCTTTCTTAAAAAAAAAAAAAAAATGAATTGCATGAAAATCTTTCGATATATTTCGTTTATAAATTACAAATATTAGACGGTAATGAAAATATCGGTTGTACAACAAAATTTATTTAGTATTAAAATTACTATTAAATATATAATTAATTTCATTTTATCATTAATATTATCGGACGATAGTTGATGAGAGAATCTATTATTTACACTTTATCTAATATAAAATGGTAATTATTAAAAATCAAACAATTCAGGTAAATCCAAATAAATCAGATTTTTAATTGTTTGACTATATGGTATTTTTATTTATTGTATCATCTGTTCTGTCAATAGAAAGACGTTTTAAATCCTTCTTCGTATGCCATACACAAATAAACAATCTCTACGATGGAAATAACGCACGAGTCAACTTTTTTTGATACATAAAAAAAACAAAACAAAAAATAAAGAGAAGAAATGACCAATATTTTTTTTAAAGATAAAGAAATATCACGTATGATGTTACCTGGAGGTTACAGTTACCATATCTTACTTTTCTTTTCTTCTGTATTCTCCTTTTAAATAAAATTTTAAACATTTAAACTCTAACTAATTTTCTATATTGATGATTTTCTTAAAATATTTATCATGAGTCTTTCATTTTTTACATAATAATAATAATAATAATAATAATAATAATGATTGTGTATCAAAGTTAAGAAGACAAATTGAGTAGTGATTGACTTTTTATGAATAGAAAAAAACATTGATTAGCTGCTCAACAACGGAGAGAGCGAAAGAGAGAGAGAGAGAGAGAAAATGAAAGACTACAAACTATGATTACAGGATGATAGGAGAGAAATCATTAATTTTATAAATTAGTATGATTAGTGAAATTAAATCGATCTCGATCTTCTTTCACACTAATTTCGTATAAGATTTACACAAATAAAAAAAAAAAAAAGCATCATCGTCTGAAAACCAAAAGTCAACATAATATAAAGAAAAAGGAGAAAAAAATAAAATTATTATTTGTAAATAGGTATATATATTACCTCTCAAATCCATGTTTTTCTTTCTTCTTCATCTTTTTTTAACACTTGAAAATTATAACGGAGAATGCTATGCATTTATAGATGTAAACTCATTTTATTTGGTGAGCAAAAAATAAAAGGAATTTGTTTTTCCTTTGAAAAAGTAAACTATAACTATATATATTTCTTTCAGCAGCACGACGATTGCTTTTATGAAACTAATTTCTCATCATAAGAGTTTAGTGAACATTACAAAAAAAAAAAAAAGAAAAATTATCAAGTTTATTTAACCAGTGAAAAAAAAAGAAAAAGAAAAAAAGAACTAAAGTATGTCGCATCAAAATGACAAAGAATGAAAGGATGAATATAACCCTTGAACACTTATCACATATCTTAACTACATTCATAATGAAACTGTATAGTAAGAATAAAATGTCTGTAAATTTAGAACAAAAATGTTTATAAGGCAATGTCAAATGTTTAGAACAATGTTACGTCTACGATTCTTCAGACCCACGTTTTTTTTTACGTCTATTAGTAATAGTGAACAGGTCATAGATGTCAAAATGGCCCTAAATACGTTTTAATCATTCATTATTTATTACAAATATTTGTATGTAGTCAAACTTTTTACTGGAATAAGAATTATATCTGATGAATTCTCTATGAGAAGATGATTGTTTTTTCGATCTTTCACATAATGTTCGTCTTTTAGCAGTGGTATTATCGAAACTTTCGATTAAACAGACATTATAGAGAACTTATTGTATTTTTTTGTTTTGTTTTTTGAGTTATGAACACTCTCTTGTTGTATATCACATTAATTTGATAAAAAGGTGTATTGTATATGATAGAAAAAATCGTTCAGTCACTGTTCTCTTCATTTTAGATAAGCAATTAAAGAACACAATCAATATTAGAGAATTTTTATATTAAAATACATGTTACGTCGTCCATTTAGTATTCTGTAATGTTACTCATTAATACGTATGTAACATGTGCGTAATGTTTGGATCTTATCATCATCATCATCAAGAGAAGAAAAAAATACCTTTTTTTTATTCTTAAATCAATAGCGCAATACTTGAAATAGCAAGAGAGAAGAAAGATCCTTTTATAAAGCCATTAGAGAGAAAACGACGTATATTTGTTTTTGTTTTAAACAATATGAAATAAAAAGGGTCATACCTAAATTCAATTACTGAACACTAGCCATCATCACTATCATCTCTACTACAAACAACAACAAAAAATAAGACAAAATGATTGAGATTCAATAAAATAAATTTGCAAAAATATATGATGATTGTAGTAGATCAATCAAAACCAACAATAATACCAATGCAGAAAGAAGAAGATAATGAAAATTCGACAATAACAACAAATATAACCGTTAAAACACGTCCACGTACGTCACAAAAACATTATCGAATACATCCAGATTCTCCAAGTACTACGGCAACTACTCTCATCGTTAATAATGATCATAATGGAAGAATCATACAACAACAACCAGGTGAAGCTGACCAAGAAAATAAGAACTATATAAAAATGACTTTAAACGATAATAAATCTAGTAAGCAAACTGAAGAAAAAAAGATAAAAGAGACTGAAAAACCGCAACATGTTCAGATTGATACAACAAAACTAAAAAAACAGTCTACTATTAATAATAAACTTCAACAACAACAATCATTACATACAGTTATTAATATGCCAGACTCATCAGGATCAACGACAATCTCTGAAAAAATTGAGAAAAATCATATTGATAAAATTAAAAGTGATAATCACAATAGCGATATATCACTTACAAATTCTGTTCAGTTAATTCTATCCACATCGTCGTCGTCGTCATCCTCTTTACCGTCGCGTAGTTCTAGTCAATCAGCAGCTCCAATGATATCAACAAAAAATTTAAAACCATCTTCATCTTATTATCCTCGTAAATCAATCGATCTTGAAATTCATAATGTACAAAATGAAGTGCATCATACAGATAATAATGATGAAATACTACCATCATCTAATTTATTTCTAAGAAATTTTAATATGAGTGCGTTTAGATCACCTGCACCATCATCTGCTAATCAAGCAAACCGTTTCCTACAAGCATTAACGGGTACCGTTACCAGTCCTTTGATACATAATGAAACTAGGAGTACAGATACGTCGAATGTAACCGATGATAATAGTACACTATCAGAAAACGAGTGTGAAATTTGTTGTACATCATTGACGAATAAAAATCATGAAAAATTAAATAGTTGTTCACATGTATTTTGTCATAATTGTTTAACAAAATATATGACAGATAAAATAAAAAATGGTATTGCAAATTTAGAATGTCCACAAAATTCATGCAGTGAAAATATACATCCAGAAGATATTAGAAGAATATTACAAAATGATGCCTTATATAATCGTTATGAATTATTTATGTTAAGACAGGTATTACAAAAAATGCCTGATTGTCGATGGTGTCCGTATCCCGATTGTACATACGCTGTTTTATCAGAGAACACTCGCAAACCAGTTAAATATGAATGTCCGGTTTGTAATCGACTATTTTGTGGTCGATGTGGACAAATATGGCATGAAAATCAAACTTGTACAGATGCATCAGCTAAACGAGCTGCTCTAGATCCTACTCTACAAATGTTAATGAAATCAAGTGCAACAGGAGGAAAAGTTCGACCATGTCCTCGATGTGAGTATTTAATAATATCAACTCGTTTTTCAATTCATTTTAAAATTTTTTTCTATTTTTTAGGTAAATCGCCTATTGAAAAGTTGGACGATGGTAGCTGTAATCATATACGTTGCAGTAAGTATAAAATGATAATTGTTAAAAAGTCAAGTATTCATTGTTTTGCCTATTTTTAGGCGTTTGTACTTGTGAATTTTGTTGGCTTTGTATGAATGAAGTAGATAATTTACACTTTATAACTCCAACCGGTTGTACATTTTATGGAAAAAGTCGATGGTCAAAACAAAAAGTATTTTTATTTCTAATATTATGTTGGTTATTAACACCACCAATAACTATTCTTGTACTTCTTATTGCTATTCCAATATTATTGTTTACAATTCCGTTGATGTTAACGAAAAAATTTTATCAACATACCGTTGAAATAAATGTAAATAAACCGAAACGCGTTTTTTTATCGATAATTGTGTTATTATTAACTTTCTTAATTACACCATTACTACTTGTTTTAGCATTGTTAATTGGTATTCCAATGCTAATATTTTTCATTTATTTTTATATGCCACGAAGATTTATAACAGCAAATTTTTAGAGAAATTAGAGAAATAGTAAGAATGTGTGTCCATTTTCATAACTGATAGCTTTAACATGTTTGTTTATAACGAATAGTATTATATTTTTCTAAATATCTATATTTATTCGTGTACACGTGTAAAATGTTGCTGTTGTTTTTATTTTTTCTTCTGACTTTTCATTGTTGGTTTTGTTAAGACGTTTGTTATATTATTTTTAATGTTATTTTATATGAGTAAATAATGTTTATCATTTACACATTTTAGAAACTATAGGCAAAGAAAATTTTGAATTGAGAGTCACCCATTTTTTATCACAGTGACCGCATTTTTCACTAGATCTCAGATTATACCCGAGCAAAACAAAAATTTTTTGGAGCTAGCTTAATCTAGATTAAAGGATACATTTACCTAGCTTAAGCAAGGTTAGAACTAGCTGCAGCTATCCAGTCAAAAAAAAGGTCAGAAGTAGGAGTATGAATGTGTGCTCCGTTTGAAAAAAGCCACTAAGAACACTGTAGAGTACTCTTTTTTGGAGTAGTCCAGAATACTCCTCAAAAACAGAGCGCTTCGGAGCACTCCTTTTTATAAAGTGCAGCCAAGGCACTGCAGAGCACTTCAAAAAAAGTGTATTTTTTGGAGTACTCCTTGTGAGAACAGGCACGTCGAATACTCCGGAGTCATTCTTAAAAAAGGGTTATCGAGATTACTCCTTTCTTTTTTTTCCAAAACGAGTGCTCCACCATACTCCTCTTGATATTTTTTTTTGACTGGCTAAATATACCCTTTGATCTAGGTTAAGTTAGCTCCAATAAAACACGACATATTGAAACAAAATCCACATTAAACGAGTAAAAAGGCAATTTTTTTAGTGCTCATTTATAAAGAACATTCAGTGAAAAATTGGTGTTTATGACTCCCTTGTTAGTCCAGTTTTAGCCGATCTCTTTCCCTATTCATTTGGATGTCTTCTAAAAAGAGAGAGAGTGGTTTGTAAATCTCGATTTTAAGCTAGTACCGAAATATGCACTACATGTATTTTTTAGTGTGAACAATCTGCGCAGAATGAGCGTAAAACTATGTCAAGAATGTTGCACTACACGATCAAATTTGACGAAGTATACGAGTAACAGAAAATTGATAAAAAACTTCGAAATAATCCAAACTTTTTACTCATGAAACTAACTTTGACAGAAAGTAGATAGCAACTCTTTGACAACTAACACTATTTGAAAAATGCTTGATACTTTTTTCTTGCTAGAAAAATGCGTCTTAATATCTGTCTAATCGTGATGGTGATCTCGCCAAACTCTGATAATCTTGCGAGTTATGTTTCTAATCAAATCGATCATTGTTTTCTGCACAAATTTATTATCTTAAACACATAAGTTTAGTTTGAGACAATAAATAGTCACACGAAAAAACGAGATAAAAAGAAAAAACATGTTTTGAATCATGAAAAAACCAACGATAAAGTTCTGTGTAGCACCACTCACCGGGCCTGCAGTTTTCGTAGATGGACAGAAGAACGCATCGAGATCTAGGAAAACCTATGAGACCTCGATACTGACAAAAGGAGTCAATGTAACGATGACAGGTTCAAATGGATGAACATAACAATAAAAACCAAAACAAAGTGTACTATTTTAGTAACATTGAATGAAAGCAAAAAATCGAGAAAATTCATCAAGTTATCTTAGCTGTACTAGTGTGAACAATACATAACTAGTAAACTTAACATGGAAATCAAAAAGCATGCGATGTTAAGAAACAAAATGTGTGACAGATAAACTTTAAAATCAATAACAGTTTATATAAAACAAAGAAATATCAGATCATATATATATCATAAAACATGCAAAAAGAAAAAAGAAAAATTAATGGATCATTTTATCGACATATTCTTGTATTTTTTGTGACATATGTTTAAATCCATTTTTATTCGGATGTAGTCCGTCTTTGGATAAATGTTGACTTTTAGACAATTCAAAATCAAACAAATCAAATTCAAATGATATTTTTCGTTTTAATCTTCGTTGTAATTTCACTAATCTTTCATTGAATAAATTCACTCGTTTTACAATACTTTTTCCGCCATTATCTCCTTGTGCTCGTATAAATACGCTTGTTTTTGTTCTATAAGGTACTTTGGCTAATGTCATTTTTACACTGGGATAAAGTTTATGAAATAAAATGATAAAATTTTTTAATTTTGTAATTGCTGTTTTTGAATGTTCACGAGCCAAATTATTTGTTCCAATAACGATAATAACATATGTTTGATTTTCTAATAGGTGATTAAGTTCTCTTTCACGAAGAAGATTTGTTAAACGTTGAATCGTACATCCGGATATTGATTCAACATGCGTTATGACATTGTTTTCAAATGGAACATTTGGTGGCGTAACACTGCCCAATAACGAATCACCGAGTAAAATCATTATAATAGCCAACAAAAGACAATCTACAAGAAAAAATGAAATGTTCTAATTACAATTCTTTACTTAACAGATGGGACAACAAAAACAGAAAAGAGTAGTCAGTACAGTTAATATTCATCTATTAATAATAACGCTCTGTACCTTGTAGCATAAAGTAGCTAAGGCGGTCCAACTGATCTCTTAGTAGGTATATGTTGAATGTAGTATAGTGAAACAAACAGTAGAAATCATTAACTATTTTATTAGTTATTGTGAAAAAAACTAAAACCTTATATAATACTACCAAACATCATACTCATTATATTCAACAAATAAAATAAAAACTAAGAATAAAATTAAAATTAATTCTATCAGAACGAGCACATTCAAGACAAAGAAAGTGAGAGTTTATTTACAATAATTAACAAATAAAAAAAATATCATTTAGTAATTTTTGTTCATTAACATATTCCATATCATTGTTGTTCATATTAACATGAGGATTTAATCTTGACGCATGTTGTTTTTCATGAAAATTTCGATTATTATTATTATTATCTGTTGTTTCACTTAATGACATAAGAAGTTCATCTTCTGCTTGTTCTTGTTCACTGTAGAAATTTTGATACTGTTGAATTTTTCGATTCGCTTGTTTTTCCGATGACGCAGATGACCTTGTAAAACGAATCTCATCAAAAATTATGGCATAATAAAAATAATATAGAACTTACGGTTTAACAATTTTATTCGTTGTAACTGTGGATAATGATGATTTTAACACGGATGGTAACTTTACAGGTGATGTTGCTCGCTCAATCATCTTTGGTTCTGTTGAACGAACATTTTTTATTGGTGACGTTGAACGAGTTGTTTTCGTTGGAAGTGAGACTACCAAAGAGAATAACATTTAATTATCTCCACGAATAAAACAAGAGAAAAGTACGTACCATTCGATGGTGTTAGGTTAGATTCCATTACTGTTGACTTTTTGGATGATGCAACTACTTGATCGTGATGAGTATAATTAATCATGTCGTCAACTTTACGATGTCTCAATTCTTCTTCTAGAATTTGTTGCTAAACAGAGTAAGGAATGTTTAAGCTATATTTTACAACCGTTTTAAAGAATTTAAATAATAAACCTGTTTATGTAACAATTGTAATTGTTTTTCCATCATAAGTTGTTTTATTTGAAATTGTTCAATGACAATAGCATTTGTTCTTGTTACTAAATCAGTTTCAGACTTAGTTGTGTTTGGAACTATTTGTGCCTTATTTTGATTTGGTGAATATTTCTCATTTTGTTTGACTAATGGTGGCCCTGACGTTTGCCCATTAATTATATCAATGGGTGTCGATGACTAAAAATATAAAATACATTTGAAAAACTCAATTATTTGAGAATAAACTGCATATTTCATTACTCGTTGAGGATCGGGAAATATGACAGATCGTTTTTGTTGTTGATCATTTTTATATTCTTGCAATTTTTTCTCATACTCGTTTAATGTTGATTTTGTTTCACTATATCGTGTAAAGAGTTCTAAAAATATACAACAATAAACAGCAACATTATATAACTATATTATATGTAATAATTTACTTTGATTATCTTTCATCAATTTTTCATAATCATTTAACAAAGTTTTCATTTGTACTTCAAATAATTTTCGTTCTTGTTCAAGTTTCGTCTGAACTACATCTTTTTCGTGACCAATTCTAAACATAAACAATTATAGTTTTATATAATAAAAGAAATATAATTGACCTACCGAGCTAATTCTTTAATCAAATTGGCTATTTTTAATTTATCTTCGACACTCAATTCTTTTAAACCTTTTGTAGTTTTAAGATCATCTTCTAAGGATATTGACGATGTTGATGGTACATCTTCAGACGCAAATCGAACAACGTTTGATGACTTCAAAAAAGTATCAATGACAATATATTATACGATGACTATATAATAAAATCATTTATTTGTCTTACTTTTGTTTTAGCTTTTGTGTTTACAGATGGTGCCGTTAATTTAGTTGTTTTAATTGTTTGAGGATAACGAGCAATTGGTTTTGTAGTAACATCATTTCGATCTAAAGAAAACTATTATTAGATAAAATTAATTTACAAATAATGGAAACATTTACCAGCAGCATTCAACCATCGAATACGAATCGGCTCTTTATTTGCTGTTTCTAAATTCAACTCTTCAGACATTGATATATATATATATCTAGAGAATAGCATATATTTATGAGTAAACAAAACATTGAGTACAATTAGAATGAGAACAAAATAAAAAAGCACTACTAATATTTCTTTATTGAATTAACGTGAGTATTCGAAAATAAATAGTAATAAAAAGTGATATATAGAAACGTATCTGATAAATGTTCTTGAACTCGAATGATTAAATTTCAATAGAACGACGCACTTGTTGAAAATTCTTGTAAAATGCCTTAAAAAGAAACAAATCGAATAAAAACATATTTTTCATTTAGAAATAACTTTTTACTTGGAAAAAATTTAAATAATTTTCTAAAGCTGTTGTTGATGTCATTTCTCGAATTGAATGCATTGAAAGTTGAGGAGCACCTACATCAATTGTATAGATTCCCAATCTTGAACTGAGAATAGGTCCTACAGTTGTTCCACATGGCATATCATTTCGCATGGAAAATTCCTAAAAATTAGTAATTGTTATCTGTCTGAGAGTATCGAATATCTATTGATAATTAAAACTGTTTTAAAACAATGACATTCTACTATTTATGTGGAAAGAAGTATGAAGATTGAATAAAAACGTGTTTGCATTAACCTGTAATTGAACATTTCCAATTCGTGCAATTTCTTTTATTATCGTTGATGTAAATGCTGTTGTTGCATATCTATTATTACAATTTGTTTTAATAACAACACCACTATGATGAAGTGTTGGTTTATGATGTTGATCATGAAGTGAACTATAATTTGGATGAATAGCATGTGCCATATCAGCTGAGACTAGAAATGAATTTGCTATTGATTATTCATAATTTTCTCGTGTTATTCGACGTAGTATATGTTGAGTAAATTCAGACATTGCACCTTGAGCGCTTTCACTACCAATCTAAACAAATTTTAATAGTAAAAAAATGCACAATATCGCCAATTGTTAACTAACCTCTTCATTATCATATAGTAGTGCACCGCGAATGTATGCGTCATTTGTTAAAGTGTCAAGAGATTGAATTAGGCCCTAAAATGTATAATATTCAATGACAAACAAATAAAAACATGAGGATGCTATTAACTACCTGTATAGCACAATACGAGCTCATTTGATTGTCCAATCTTGAGCAGAAAATAAATTCATTTTTCAATCCACCAAGACACGCTGGTTGAGTATCGGCTAACATAAGATCAAAATTGATTACATCTTTAGGATTACACTGACATTCATCACTGATCAATTCTAATAATTCACTGTGATGTTTTTTTAACTAAAGCAAAATTCAACTGAACGGTGGTGTCTATACTCTTAATAACTTTTGATTAAAACAAACGTAAAAGGCATGCGCTATTCGATACCCAAGATTGAGGCATATATTTTCGTAAAAAGAATTCGACTAAAAGTCTTTTTTCAAAGTATAAGATTTTCTACAAGGTCTTAAAAAACAATATTTGTTTCTTGAAGAAAGTTTTAAGTTTAAGTATCTAAAAGATTTTTGAGAAAGATGGTTTTTCACATAGTTTTCTAAATTCTTTCCGAAACAAAACATTACTATTAGATTCAGCGTGATTCTTTACCAACGTTTCAATCATTTTTCAAGTTCCCAATATATACCAAATAGATGTCCTGAAGCTCGCAGGAAATCTGATGATATTACTTGACTTTCCGTTTAACTTTACTACTCATTCAAAACAAATTAATATATTTATATTAGATATTTTTAAATAACGAACTAGTTTTTCAAAGATTTCTTAGAAACTTCCTCTATTCAAAGTTTCTATACTGAATAGATATACTACATACTTCAGAATTTTCATTATGCTTTTTGCTATTCCAGTTTGATTTATCATTTTCATCTTTCTTCTCATTTAATTCTTCTGTGGCTTTTAATGATAATATCGCTTGCCTAAACATACAAGATAGTCCATAATAAATTCCTATTCTAATAATCTAAACTTCACTACGTACAAATGATCTTGTTTATTAATTACAAATTTTTCATTCATATCTCGTTGCAAATGGATAGCTATGTTAGGTATACGTAAAATTGGACGTTTGATATGAACAAGTTGCGTTATTATTTTATCATTTTTCTACAAAACAAAAGGATAACAGCAATAGATAATATTATTAACATTCGATAAACTACTCTAATAACTCACGCGAAAAAAAACTCTTCCTGCAAGTGTTAAATCACGATCAAACCTAGAAAAAATAATGACTTATGCTATTACAAAGTATTAAATGTTGAGTAAAGATCTTTACCATGTATGCCAAATGCCGCTTCCATAACACTCAACATTAACCTGTAAAAAATCGTTTTCTTCACGTCTTGAAATTGGTTTAACCTAAATACAAGATGACTAATGATAAATTTATTAAATTAGTGATAAAAAGGGTTGGGAACGTTTAAGCAGAATATGACTATAAAAAATGCTCGATATTTAAAAATAATTTGACACAACGGAAAAATATATCTTACATACTCTCAAATGAGGACTATCTGTATGTGTAGCAACCAAAGCAAAACCATTACCATGTTTATATTGTTCACCAACAGCAAACGCTGCTAAACATGAACCGCTTTTTGTAACATAATACTAAAAGAAAGCAACATGAGTACAGAAAAATAATTTCTTTTTGTTTGAAATAAAATCAGTTTACTTTTCCGAACTTTTCAACATTCCATTGTTCATTTTCCTTTAATTCTTGAAAACCAGTATTTTTTAATATCGATGTAATATTGTTCACACCTTCAAAGTAAGTTTATGTAAAGCAACAACGTTGTAAGAAAATACGTATACGTACAATGAAAAGCAGTAGGGCTCTTATTTATAAAATCCAAAAACTGTGTAACACTATCCAATGTGTTACTTGTATTTGACATCTAAAACCAAAAATAATAATAAGTTAAAGAGTAGCTTTGTGAATATTTAATCCTATCAGATACTCATGCTATTTCCTTACTTTTTGACCCTCTTATGCTTTCTATCATTTCTGTAAAATGCAAATGAATATATTATTATGCTTATTCGTTAAGCTGTGTTCTTCTTTTCTCTCATCAATGTCTTGTAAAAATCTTCACTTTTTGTTTTAAACACACATACTGTATTACTAACGTTACTTATTGTAACGTTCTTCTTGCACGTAATGGTTTGAAAAAATGAATAATTTTACCCTTAAGAAATCTGAAGTTCCTCAAGATTCAAGTTAAAAGCTTTCCTCATATGTTACATACCATTCTCAAGAATGTAAGTCCAACGCGTTTCAGACTCGACGATGTTATACTAAACATGTGTTAACTTTGTAATATCTTGTTTTTGAAAAACAGAAATAGAGTATTTCTGAACATAAAATATAATCAGTAACTATGTAATAACAGTTCGTAATTGTTTTCAATATATTTTAAACTATTTTAAACTCAATAACGTATGAGTAATTTATTTAAGTAAAATTTTCGATTGATGATGTAAGATATCTTATAAAGCCATCTAGAGAGAGAAATAGGCAAAGTACTTAGCATTACATTATAGTTTACAGACAAAAAACATACTAAAAGAAGAATATTTCTATTAAACAATATTACTAAAGAAAAATCATTAGTTAATAATAAAAAAAGTGCAGACATATGTAAGCTCATCACTGATGAAAATCGTTTGTATTTCAACACAAAAACAAAAAAATTATATTATTGTGAGCGTGTCTCAAACATAAAATTAAAAATAACACCATACAAATAGTTTTGTACGTAAAATAATAACATCAATTCGATTTCCAACAGTAAGCATAATCATAATGACAAACAACTCTCTTCAGATGAGATCGTACACAAACAGGATGTTGAGTGTTAAGAGTGTCTCCCTTCTGATATGAATAAATCCTCTTCTGAAATTTTCAACGATCATCAGTAACTTATTAAAGTAAAATCTCACCGTAATAATAATTCACAGTTTTCAAAATTTTAAATTAAGAGGTTAGGTTTGATTTCTTTCCTTTCACGTCATTTCTGTTAGCAAATTCTTAATAAAAGCCATTTAAAAAAGGAATTTTACAATTCAATTTCCATTCTTGTGATAAGCTACGATTATCAAGATATTTACTATTGTGGCATGAGTATAAAGTAGTAACTGAATATCTGGATGAACGTAGCTCATCAGAAAAAGTAACGATAAATGAAATTCCATTTTATTTTTATTTTACTTCAATTTGAGCCAGCAAAACTTTCTTTCATCCAACAAACGAGTGTGCTAAAAAGCGAAAGAGTGCACAAAATAAGTATATCCTTTCCATGTGAATATATGATTTATTATCAGGTCGCATGTCGAGAAAAAGATGATTAGTAAATTTATTGGTATTACTGACATTTTCAAAAGTTGAAAAAACAAGGTCTGGTAAGCTGTCCGACCAAACTGTATGATTACTGTAACGGCGTGTCGCGATGCTATGGCCATATTAATGGCTATTTACGTGGTCGAATCACGGACAAGATATGTAACATCTTTATGCATTCTGTCGGAGAGACGCCAATAGATCAAAACAACTCGAAACTCCCTTTTCCGAGCAGATATACTAAATATAACAGCTCATAAAAGAAGAAAGACAGAAAATGAAACCCTATATGGTCCTTGTTAAAATCCGAAATAAAACTTTCATCCAATGAATTTGTGTACTTGATCCAATGGATGTGTACTTGAAAGCGAAGAAAGTGCACCCTCATACAAATTTTTATAACGGACATCAATATTACCATTGTGCGGTTCCTAAATAATTTCTGTTCAAAGATTTATTTGTGACAATTCGAAAAAATTACAGCATCAGAGCTTTGTAATGTTAGAAAAAATCAAGTTAGGCCAGCTTTGAACATTAAACAACTTGTTTTACGTAGTCTGTCTTTGAAAATCTGATGATGGCGAAGGATGAACACGACCAAGTGATCCTTTGTATTTTGTTGTTAATCTATAATAGTCATTATCAAGAGGCGTAATGCGTCAACATCGTCCAGTATAATGAATCGCTGTAGCCAGATATATCACGCTAGTACCACTTCACACATCCAATGCTTTACATGCACCACGCCAGCTGTTCGTCAACTGGAAAACGATGTCATTTTATGTGTTATTTAATGCACAGTATTGTTACCTGAACCTGTAATAAGTGTCGCAGGCTTGTGTATTCCACTTAAGACACCAAAAGAATTGTCAAAGAATCAGCATTGCTGCCATCCAACTTGTTTAACCTGTAAGGACACGCACTGGGGTAAACATTATCTCCAAAAATTAATTATCAGAGGAAACTCTTTCATTTTCAAAATAAACTGTCATTATTGAAACAAGAATGGAAGCAATATAATTTAGTTAAGTTTAAAAAACATTATATTAAAATTATATAATGCAATTTTTGAGCACTAAATATTTACGGGTTAAAAATAGGTCCCATGACTCCATATGCAACAAAAACAATGCGCGTGTCCTTACGGGTTAAAAAAATCAAAGTATTATATTTTATTTGAAAAAATTATTAGTTTCAGTTCTGAAAAATCTGACGTATATAATCTTGTTTTATTTCAAACTTTTATTTGTGTTGGTTCTTCATTCGTAATAAGAAGAAACCTAACTTATCTTAAAACAAAGCTTTAGCGATTACACAAACACTTCTTTTCTAAACTTGACAACTACGACATACAAGGATGTAAAAAAAATAGATAGGAAACCTTGAAGAAAGAAAAACAAAGATTCAAAATACGTTCGACACAAATAAAGCACAATTCTACACAAGATCTGTAAAAGTCTCATGGAAAACGTTTGTATTCAATTCGAATTTTTTGGTAAGTCTCTATGAATCAGTCATTCAGAAAAAAAGTATAACTGAACAGTAACATTGTTCCAGCAGAAGTAATTCTAAACGCAATTCATTTAATTCAGGTATTTCATACCTTTTGTCTATATATAATACATCGCTCATATTTATACATATACAAACAACAAACAGCACAAAGAGATACAATATCCAAAAATAACAGGCATAAAAAAAGAAAGAAAACAGCTACCTAAACATCGATCTAGATAGACAAATAGAAGCAGGCGTTTCTTTAGAGTTTACTCCATCAATTCATTGTCATTAATTTCATCGTCATTCATCGTTCTTGGACTAGAAGAAGAGGACGATATCGTTGAAGAGGCTGGTGATTGAGGTGAATATTGAGGACTTGTTGGACCTGAAATAATAAAATGTGTTATACAATGAGTAATGAAACAAGGATAAATCGTCTGTTCATAGTCCAACTCACTGTAACGTGGGCTGCTCGTAGGACTGTAACCGCCAGGAGTGTAACGTGGCGATGTGGGAGAGTAGGAATATGTTGGACTTGATGGACCTATAATACATAGACAAACGTTTTAAAATAGCTCAAATCTCAAATCAATTTAAGTTACTTACTATACTGTGGACTCTGTGGCGATAATGAAGATGCACCACTTCCCGGTTGTTTATATACAGGAGAAGTTGGTGAATATTGGGGACTTTGTGGACTATAATTTGGTGATGTCGGCGAGTAATTAGTTGAATATTGTGGAGATTCTCCTTGCCCAGTAAATGGTGAAGCAGGACTATATGTCGGACTAAAGAAAAATATAGAATTTATCACAATAATGAACTAATGTGCATTCTTTTGTAGTCAACTGTTTTCAAGGAGTAGATATGACACTTATCAGATTAAATAAAATTTAACTAACCTTGTTGGCGAGTATGACGGTGTAGATGGTCCAGATGGCGACTGAGGAGAATATGTTGGACTTGTTGGACCTAAAGTAAACGAACAGAATTATTAACAAATCCATTCAAAGTATCTTAAATTACATACTGTAACTGGGACTAGTTGGAGAATAGTTTGGTGATTGAGGACTGTATTTTGGCGAATAACGAGGGCTTGTTGGACCTAGAAGAAATAATTCAGATTGTTCCAGTATCGCTCACATATATTAAAAAAGACATTAAATAAAATCATTCTCGCAAGCTTCAATAAGTGACTGTGCGCATGACTCTATCGAGACACTCGCATTGTAATATTCTCCATCACTCTCCTGTGCTTATGAATGAATTGGTATTTCCTTTTTCAAACGATTTCTTAAAACGTAAGTAATACAGATGTACTTACTGTATGAAGGACTTGTTGGACCTAAACAAAAAAAAATTAGTGTTGTAGTTATGTAAATAAGAAAAATGATATGAATGAACCAGTAGACCACGAACAACTACGCAAACTAAAACTGTTTATCGTTGTTTGTTAAAAGTTAAACAAAAACTTTCTTATTCAATTAGGGATTCTAAGGTTGTCGAAGGCGGAAGAAAACGAGTGTCGAAATATCGCACATTGATGAACTGCACATAGGCAAATCTACTTGGCCAATGAAGAAAAAATGCAAAAGTACTTACTATAACTTGGACTTGTCGGTGAATAAACAGGCGATGTGCCTCCTACTGAACCCCCAACTTTATAGCTTGGTGAATAACCGGGACTACTAGGAGAATATCCTAAAAGGAAGAAAAACAGTGTTGACTAGGCAATTATTTAGATTTACAACAATGATAAACTCCATTTCTGAATCAGAACACTTAAGCTCTTTCTTAGGTGAAACAAACTTGTTACCTGGGCTACTAGGGCTGTAACTTGGCGAAGAAGGTGAGTAACTTGGACTAGCTGCAGGAGAGTATTTTGGCGACGTTCTGTAGTACTGATTATTCGCTGCTCCATTTGTATTAGGATTATGTGATGGAGATTGACCCGCTGAATAAGTCGGCGACGTTGGTGAATAACTTCGATTTGGTGAGTAGCCTGGTGATGTAGGACCTTGAAGTATAAACGTATTAAACTATCAATTTCGCAAGAAATGTGAAAAAATCCTTACTATAAGATGGACTTGTTGGACCTAAAAATCGGAATAAATTATTTTTAAGAGATATATAAATGGATTCAACCTTAACTAAGCTACTATTAGGTAGAATCGCTTAACCCAAGGATACTGTATGCCTCATTTTCTATCCGAGAAGAAATTGCTTTGCAAGGGAAAAAGAGCGATACTCACTATAACTTGGACTTGTTGGACCTATAAATAAAGTATAAATAATTAGATGCTGTATTTCCATTATTTTACAAAACGGAGTACTGAGATACAAAAAGAAACCTAATAACAAAACACTTACTATATGATGGAGACGTCGGACCTTAATAAGCAAAAATTCTTTAATCATCAATTACAAATGAAACACACAAAATACTTACTGTAAAATGGTGATGTAGATGGATGACCTGCTGAGCCAACGGGTTTTCCATAAGACGGAGATGTAGGTGAATAATGAGGACTAAAAACAAAACTTTTTCATAAAAAAAGGCTTAAAAAGCATATATCATGGACATTAACAGTAGATTTTAGCTGAAGAATAGTCATTTATCTATAGCTTTAATGATCAATGATCGACGTTAACAAAATGAAAGAGCTTTTATAATAAAAACGTACCTTGCTGGGCTGTACGTAGATGGAGAGGTGGGTGAATAGTGTGGTGACTTTAATGATGCGTAATTATAATGAGGACTTGTCGGACCTAAAATAAAATGTTAATTAGATGATGCCTATCATTTTTGTCAATACGAAAAAGAGCCAAATCATTATTAAACCAACACTCACTATAAGATGGTGAGTTTGGACTATATCCAGAGCCCAGTCCAGGTGATCTCGGACCAACACCTAATGGATCCACTGGTGATTGAGGAATGAAAGATGGTGACGATGGACTGGCCATTTGATACGGAGATGTGGGACCGTTACCCGGGCTCATGCCACCACCAGGACTTGCTGCTGCTGAGTATGCAGGTGAATATGCAGGACTAAAACCAGTCATATCCGACATAGCGGAAGGACTGAAACCGCCTGCCATCGGTGTCATCCCGCTTGGACTCCATCCCATTGTTCCTTCGTATGTTGGTGTAGATAATGGTTGTCCCCAAGGTGTGGCACTACCATTAATTTGTTCCATTCTATTATGTTCCATAAAAAACGCCTTGGCTGCAGGCAACATCATTCCCGTTGATGTTCCTCTCATATCATTCACTGGTAATTCCATCGCTGAAGAACATTTCTCAACATCTAATAATAAATCAAAACATCCAGTGCCAATTTTGGCAAGTTGTCCTAATAGTACATTTTCCGAGACGCCCTTTAAAGGATCCCATTCTGAATGTGCTGCTGCTTCCATCAAAACATCAACTGTTTCTTCAAACGAACAACGCATAATCGGTCCGACATCTTGTCTGTTAATTCCATGACGAGTTATTGCCATTAAATGACCTTTTGTTGTCATGACGTCACACAATAGAGCTAAATGACGATAATTTACATATGAACCATCAAATGATATAACGTGATTCATTTCTTGTTCAATTGCTTTTCGTACAGCTTCAATGCCAAGAACACTAAATATTTCCACAACATCATTTGTATAAGAACGTTTTGAGTCAACATCTTTTGTTGATAAAACTTTTTTCAACGATGTTCCATCTGTTTCTAATATCCATTCACTAACCGATTTAATTTCACCGTCATCTGATATTATTATACGTTTTTTACTATTATCCGTTGTTGGATATAACATGTAAACTTTTGCAATTGCTTCAATACCTAAATGTAGGGAAACAAATAAAAAATGGAAAATTATAGTGGATGACGTTATCATACCTTGTAATGTTAAATCAGACAACATGCTTGCTTCTAAACAACGTAAGAAAGTGTCATCGTCCATTCTTGTCGTATCTTCTCCGTCTTGTGTACTTTGTCCTTGGTCACTATCATCTGTTTTTTGTTGGTCGACTGTTCTAATACGTAGCACTAATTTTTCAGCATTATCGTCATTAAATATACAATTTAAACATTCACCAAATCCAGCCGAGATCTTATCTGATATTTGTTCCATTGTTAATTTTTTATCTGTCATACGTTTACGATCAAGTTCAATACGTAATAACCATGGCGAAATACGTGACATATCTTGATCTGGCATTTCATAATACGTATTTACCCAATCTTGATCTTCACTAATCACTGTTTCTTGTGGATCGGGATCATAATAGATAGCAGTGTTCGCCGTCACTTTCCTTAGTGTACAATGTTCCAAACGACATAAAACATCTTTACATTTTTCGGCATCTTTTGTCGCCATGCCATGAAGAAAGACAGTCAACGACGGTGTTTTCGGCTTTTTACTAACATTGATAATTTCTTTTAAACGTGGAACACCCAATGTGACGTTTTTAGCTGAGACACCAGCGTAATGAAATGTATTCTAAAACCAAGAACAACATTTGTAGCTTTTTCGTAATACAAAGAAGACTTAAAGAGGTAACCCGGTAAAAAGGCTAAATGAATTTCGACTTACTAATGTCATTTGAGTAGCCGGCTCTCCAAGTGATTGAGCTGCAAGAGCTCCCACCATCTCGCCTAAAACAAACAAAACAACATAAACATTACGAAATTCTATCGACAGTCATACACATGCCTGGTTGTACTTGTGCTTGCTGAAATCTCGTTTCAATTTCACCACAAAGCCATTGGAACGCTTCTTCTGTCAAACGGTGTTCTTCTGTAATACGTTTTGAACAGAGTGATGATCTCACCAGAATATTCATTAATGTTGTGGCATTTTGCTGCGCTTCGAGAGATAAACGATCGTCACCTTTAACAATAACCAGACGTTTTGTTAACTCTTTTAGTCCTTGAACGATCTTCATTGGTGCCAAATCGGATTGTTGGCGGGTATTGATACGAAATGTTTTCTGAGCGTTTAAGATTAACCGCTCAATGTTACACGGTAAAACGATACGCGATGCATCACCATTAGCAAATATTTCTCGTAAACGGTCACGATCGTCTTTCAGTTGTTTCCATTCATCATCTAGCAACTGTAATGATTGATTACTATTTATATCTCGAATGATATCGTCATTCAAATATTTTCTTAACTGGCGTTCATTTGTTGTATCAAATTTCCATTTTCGTTCAAATATATCATTCGATGGTTTTAGAATATGAATCGACTGAAATTCAACATTTTCTGCTGCTAAGCCATCTTCACCATAAGTAAATTGAATCAGCTGGTTGATTTGATTTCGAACGGTGCCGTCGTATTTAATCATAACAGATTCCATAGCTTTAATTAATCGACGTTGGATATATCCGGTTTCAGCTGTTTTAACGGCGGTATCAATTAAACCTTCGCGTCCACCCATAGCATGGAAGAAAAATTCGGCTGGTGTCAAGCCTTGTAAATACGAATTTTCAACAAAACCTTTAGCTTCTGGACCATAGTCATCTTTAATGAAGTGTGGTAATGTACGATGTTTGAAACCAAAAGGAATTCGTTTGCCTATAACAAGCACATACATTCATAATGGTAAAATTATGAAAGAATGTAAAAGTTTTACCTTCAACATTTTGTTGTCCAACACAAGCAATAACTTGTGATATGTTAATTTTGCTACCTTTCGCACCACTAACGACCATAGCTTTAAATTGATTAAAATCTGATAATGACTTTTGAGCAGATGATCCGGTTTTATCACGAGCTTCATTCAATATACGATTCACGGTATTTTCAAAGGTCTGACGCAGAGAATTGCCAGGTGTTGCTTCCAATTGATCTTGATGTGCTTTTTCAATAACTTGATTGACATCAACTTTACTACGTTTGATATACGCCTGAATATCATCATACGTTTTCTGATCAGCAATTGTATCAGCGATACCTAATAATAAATCAGAAGAATCAAACCAATCCTTCCAAGGAGAAGAAATTTGAAAACTTCAGACATTTGTGCTGCTCACTACTTTAACAGCAGTTTTGCGTAGACTATGCAGAATGCTTCTAGTAAGATGCAACAGATCAAGCACTAAAATTCGTTGGAATGGCGCTGTTTTGCCACTGCTTAAGAATGCACAAAATTCAAACAAAACTTACCTATTGAATGTCCTTCTAACATTAACCAATTATTAACAACTGTTTGAATGTGCCAATAAAATTTTCCGGCCGTTTCATGTCCACATTCCATAAAACTAAAGTGAAGGAAAGAAAAACAAAATAAAGATGTTTAGTGGTAAGATTGTTTACATACACAATATGAGCCAATGAACCAGCCGATGTTCCTAATGTCTTTTTACACAAGATTCCACTTAATAGTTGCCCATTTTCCACTAAAACTTTTGTATCACCGGGACTAATCCACTGGTAGGGCCCACGATCTTCGTCATCGGGATGTGCAACATGAGTTCGGACACAATTAATCTGAAATGGCATAATTAATGAAAATAACTGTTTACCAGTCCACAATGGTTTTGGTTTTAGAATCGCTGCTTGTGGTACATGTCCATCCCAAGATGGTAAAAACATTAATAAATTCATAAACTCTGATTTTTCCAAAAATACATCACGACGTGTCATTTTTCGAACGGCTAAAAAACAAAACGTGATATGATCAGACTGCCTCAATTTTAGAAAACGTTCATAATGTACGCATCAACTCAGCTTGTTGCAAAAATGTCTCATATTTGTAATCAAACGCAATAAACCCCACTCTTACGACTAAATACCTGTTAGTGTATCCTGTACAATACCCATTACGGGGCGATTTGATTGAGGTGTGATTAATAAACGTGGCACCATCATTAGTTGTGATAATTCAGCTTTTGTTTCAACGGATTGTGGTAAATGTAAATTCATTTCATCACCATCAAAGTCAGCATTATATGGAGTTGTTACTGATAAATTTAGACGAAATGTTGACCAGGGCAAAACTTTAACACGATGGGACATCATTGACATTTTGTGTAACGTTGGCTGACGATTAAATACTACTAGATCATCGTCCATCATATGTCGTTCAACAATATAACCACATTGTAAATGTAAGTCACTTGGTTTTGGATGAAATCTCAAATCAATACGATCGCCATTATCACGGATAATATATTTGGCGCCATTACGACGTATCAACTCTTGTAACCATTCAAAATTAAACGGTGTTACGATTTCTGGAAATGTTAAATTCTGTGCAATTGTACGCGGTACACCAACTTGATCAATGGCTAAATTTGGATCAGGTGTGATTACTGTTCTTGCACTAAAGTCTACACGTTTTCCCATCAAATTACCGCGCACACGACCTTCTTTGCCTGAAAAATAGTGAAAAGAAATTAAAGTAAAGAAAAAAAGAAAAAGAAAGAACATATTCTCGAGCTGTCGTTTCATTGGAGAAAACTCTTTACCTTTCAAACGTGCTTTAAGTGATTTTAACGGTCTTCCTGATTTTTGACACGATTGTGGCATTCCTGGCATATCATTATCAATCAGTGTTGCACAATGATATTGCAATAATTTGATATCATCATCCAGAATATGTGAAGCAGCCCCTCGTTGTTCATCTCGTTTCAACGTATTATTTGCTTTGATGATGTTAGCTAAATTATATGTTAAATCATCTTGGGAACGAGCTGTACCAAATATTAATACAGAGGGTCGCACGCATAGCGGTGGTATGGGCAATACGGTTAATATCATCCAATCCGGTCGTGCATGTTTGGGATCCATTCCTAAGATATGGCAAACGCTATCTGGAATCGCTTTGAATATAGCTAAAACACGTTCGGCTGTCAACTTCATTTTTCTTTCTTGTGCATCGTCCTGTGCTTGTTTCCATTCGCAATTTAAATCTAATCCACTACGACGATATGCTGGCTGTTGTCTCCCACAACCGCCAGCGTATTTAATCGATAATTCACGATTTGGATCTTTTATACTATCTGAATCGTCTGAACCTACAACAAAAAATGAAACATTTTTTATTAGAATAACAGCAATAAGTTCGAAGCATCTTTGCAAAAAGATAAATAAAACGGTTAAGATCAGCGAGATCGCTAAAAGCAAAGCTTTCAACTGATGGAAAAAAAATGAATTCTTCGTTTTTACCTTTACAGAGTTTTTGACCTTTACATGCATCAAACACATGCGCTAATCTTCTTCTTGGTTGACCTTTAGTTTTTTTCAAAATCTCTTGTATTTTTGAATCAAGTGGATCAACTAGTAATTTTGAACAATAGAAGCAAACGCAACGTAATATTTTTAATGTTTTGGATAGAAAAGCAACATGAAATACGGGTTTGGCCAATTCAAGGTGGCCAAAATGTCCGGGACATTCAACATATGATCCAGCACATGTTTTGCATTTAGAATTTCGATCAGCCGGTCCCTGTCTCGGATCCATTAATCCACGTTCCTTTGGACGACCAGCTTCCATTAATTCAGGATGTTCTATCGGCTGCGGTGTAACCGACATACGTTTTATTTCATCAGGAGATAATATGCCAAACTGTACACGTTTAACATTCCGATATGGAGCAATAGAATCACTAATTTGAGAGTTAAAGTAAACCATTTTCGTTTATGTTTACGCTTACTGTTAAATGGCTAAAAATGAACAAAACATAGACAGGTTACGCGGTTGTAAAAATGCCATTCAAACAACAAGCTTAATTCCGGTATAAACTTTTATGTATAAATATATAACAGGTTCTTTTCTACCAGCGAAAACGTTAAGAACTCACACAAATTTTTCTCCAAAAGATAGGGGAATCAGCGTAAAAAATATGCAGTAAAGCTTTAAAATAGCGAAAAAACAACACATAAAACTATTCTCTTTATCGAAGATTTCTCCCGGAAAGGAAATTCCCTAGAATAAAACAGGACTTCCTGAACAAATTTCTTGTTACTTATGAACTGAATTTGCTCAGAACATCGCTAAAGTTAATCCTCCGGCTGCTAGATGCGTTTTTAAAATCTTTTTCTACCTGATTCACATCTACTAGATCTTTATTTAACAATTCCTGAAAGTTCACACAGCTCCGGGTACTCTGATCCATCTTAGTTGACAGCATGGAACTATAACTACTGTTAGAAGCACAACACTTATATATCGAAACCAGGGTTTCCGATTTTTGTCAGGGTAAAGTAATTTAAACTTTAACAGACAGATAGAGGTCAAGACCAAAACGTTCGGCAGCTGTTCGCTGGCGAAAAAAACGACAAATTTGATACATAGTTTAATAATATGTTTACAATGAGGAACTCCACATTCTAATCGGAAACCGTGGCTAAAACACGCCCTTTTAAGTATGATTCAATCGTCAAAATGCGCGTGTATTCACGTGATAATACCAGGTAACTTGATTCTTTTTCGTCACTAAACTGAAGTGATTGCGAGAGTAGAATCGCTAAACTGGCAACTACGAAGAAAAACGACAGTATTTACAGTGATTATTCACCAATAGCAAATATGGAAAAGAAAGACTAATTGTGTTTTGTTTTCCGAATATTTTCCTCGCTATTTCACTAACAGTTCAAAACTATCTGCATTAAAAAGATAATTCATGGCTTAAACTAACAAAGTCTCTTACTTTTAAATCGTTTATGCAGTGACGGAGCTTCGGCCAATGAAAAATGTTTATGGTGTGTCATGAATATAATTGCGTACAGTAAATAAACAAAAGACGGGAAAAACCCATAAGTTAAATACGGTAACGCTCGTCTGCACTTGGATGGTCCCTTGACTTTAGGAACTTATATCTACGAACGATCCTCCATCACTTTTGAATCCACGACAACGGTCACGCATCCCTTTGGTCGGCGTTCGGTAGGGCACTATCAGAAATGTGTTCTAAAGTTTTCTTTGATTTGTTGTATAGGGTTCGTAATGTAATGTAAATCTAAAAGATTTTCTCCAGATCCAGGAGCTCCAGAAATCTACAAATATTTCTGAATTCAAGACAATACTCTCGCCTTCCTTCGGTCGGCGTTCCCAGCCTTTCGCTGATTCCACGGAAAAACCGCCTCATGTGATATAAAGCTAAAAGGTTTTCTGGATCCCTCTGTAGAATCCCGGGAGGTTGGAAGTATATCTAACCGATTCGCTATGATACATTATTTGTACACTGTAAGTTTTATTATCCGTACATGACTTTTAAGAATAAGACTAAGACTGTTTTATTCACGAAAAGTCACAAAGTCATCAAAGGTTACTGACCTGTAATAAATGACTAAAGCCAAACAACACAAAAAGAGTAATAAAAAAGAGCAAAATAGATAAGACAACTGAGGTTAGCACCAGAAGTAGTAAAAAAAAGAATAAATATAAATTCTTAACTGGCAAATGTTTCACTGGAAGAGATACTGACATAAAGCTGTTTTGAAAGACGTTAAAGGAGAAAGACAAATAACTGACTCTGGGAGATTATTCCAGTCAGCAATAGTTGAATAAAAAAAAGAAGCATGCACCGTTTGCGGAGAATAACCATCAACAGAAGATGGAATGCGAACATATTTAGAATGATGAAGACGTAAAGATGAGCAGTGAGGACGATGAATAGTATAAAAAAGAGAAACAGGACTTAGGCGATCATAAATTTTGAAAAAACTGTAGAAGTCTAAAGTATTTACGACGAAGAGTGAGATTTGGAAGAGAAAGTTGGGACACAAGTAGAGAACTAAAAGTACGATAGTCAGAATTGCGGGAAATAACACGAGAAGCAAGTTTGTTTACAGAATCAAGAACAGTAAGAGAAAACGAACTGTCATACAAGGCACAGCAATAGTCAACTTTAGGAAGAATAGAACAAAGATAGATTCGACGCCGAACTTCAGTTGGAGCTAATCCAAAGACACGGTTTCAATGCTCCAGGCTTGTGCCGATAAGCAAGAGCAATGTCCTTGGCATGATCATTCCACCTAAGATCGTGCGAAACAAGAACGCCAGGACAACGAATAGAAGACACAACAGAGAGAAGAGCACCATTGAGATACAATTGATTATAAACGTACGGAAAGAGGTTGAATGAGCAAGGAAGCCAACAACATTTAGAAACGTTTAAAGACATGAGATTGGAAGAAGACCAGTGAGAAACAGACTTTATACAGTTTTGAACATGAGAAAAATTAGAATCAGTAGAGGAAAGAAGAACAGTCAGAAAAACATCATCAACAAATAGACAGATTTCACAATTAGGTGGAAGCGACAGAGGTAGATCAATTTGTTGGTATTATCCGAGTTGACTGCTATCTCGCGACATCGATCTCCGGCCTACAGAAAACGTTCGCTTAGCTTTTTTTTCTGCATCAGTAGATATTTCAGATCAAGGTTCCCAAAGGTGTAAAACTGCGTCTAAACACTAGACAATGCTTTCAATATTTTCTCCCTTGTGTAAAAAATAATTTTCTACTTTTGTCTCTTGTGATTCGCTTATCCATAGAACATCTGACAGCCATTTTTCGGTATTTTGCGCGCACAGATACACACAGACAGGCACATACACACCGACAATCATTTTGTAAGATCCTAGACTAAGGTCAAGGGAAAAATCAAAATAAAAGTCCCGCTAAAATACTGAAAACAGTAATCGATATTTTTGACTTTGCTGATCCAGAAAAGAGAGTGAAAACGGAATGGACCAACAACATCTTTGATGCCGTTTTGTAGAGCTCGAAAAGTACTACAAATGCGAGAAAAAGAAAAAAATTTGACTGAATACTTTTTGTGCTGGGAGGCATTTAGCATTGACATTTAGCTATTTTAAAACGGGTTTTCTTCGAAGATGAGCTTTGTGCTCAAAGAGAAAGGTAGATATCGACCTTATTCTTTTTTCATTGGATTAAGCAGCTCTTTAGCTTCATTTTTATCTATAGTGCAAGAACTTTTTATATTTTGTTTTGGCTTCAGTAGAGGTGAAATACTAAATGCCCTTTTTTCATTTTCGGCCATTTTGTGACGGTTGGCCTGTGCTTTTAAATGTAGTAGGCTACATTTTGAGTATCAGCACTTATACTACTCGAGCTGTACCTTCGTATGGTATATTAAACGTCGATGTTAACTCTATGGATGTAGAGACAAATAAGGTCAAAGTTGCTTCATTGTAAAAGGGGTCAACACGTGACATCCCGAAACAGACATGTACAATATACCTTTTTTTGCGAACAAATATGGAATTCTATGTAACTTTTTAGGCTTTATACGGCAGGAGTGTTGAAACTTGGGACTGCTATATCCGTATAAACTGAGCGGATCTGATTGTATGTACTCGCATATAAAGGTAAAAAGTTTTCCAGACATCCGCTAAAGATCGGAAGGGAGGCTGCAAGTATCTCTGATGGATTCGCCAGGATAGACTATATATATATTCTCTAAATTTTATAATATGTAGAAGACTTTTTGTGTTATCAAAATGGATTGGTTTCTGGCGACATCTATCTCCCAAATACAGAAAAGTTTGCTTAGGTTTTTTTCTCTCTGCACTAGTAATTATTTTTTCAGTCGTCTCTTTGAATATTTTCTCCCTTGTGTAAAAAATATTTTTCTACTTTTGTCTCTTGTGATTCGCTTATCCATAGAATATCTGACAGCCATTTTTCTATATTTTGCGCACACACGCGCAGACCGACCAGAACGAGGTACACAACAGGGGAAAAGAACAAAGTAACGCTCGTCTGCACACTGTCCCGAAAAAGCACTGTAAAGTATGCAAATAGCACAGAAAAAGCGTGCTACTGGAAGTCCAAACTTCAATCTCCAATACGGGCGTGTCGCTGGTACACTTACACTGTATCATCAGTACGGTAAAGTACAATAAATTACAAAAGAATCGCATTCAATAACTATCTGTTCAAAACAAATTTAAGCATGATACCTCAAAAATACACTACACTAGCGATTTAAATACTTGTAGAGTGTGCATTGATTCAAATCGGTAGTGTAGCCTAAGTGTACTTTTAATGTATCATGCTCAAATTTGGTTTGAAGAGATAGTTATTGAATGCAATTCTTTTGCAATTTACTCAAGATCAGGGAAAATACCTGCAAAAGACGACGGAATCGATTGAGCGTAGACGAGAAGTAGACGAGAATACATGAGATTAGTCAAAAGAAAGAAAAAAGAAAATACAACTTACATTGAAATCCAAGATGATGTGCGTTTCCATTTTCTTTACGTTTTATTATTTTCTCATTGATCCTAAGACATACTAAAAAGATTGAAAAAACAAAACAATAGAAAAGACAGCTTTATTTAATCATAGACTTCACAGTTTCAGAAAGAAAATGTGAGCGCTATAGCTAAGAAGTGAGTTAAAATTGATCCACTCGCGCAATTTCAGAATTAGAATAAAAAACGATGACTCATTTTCGTTTTTAAAAGGAAAAGAAAACAAGTCTTCTAGATTTTCACTTCGTTTTTTAAGTTCGATGAAAAACTTATCTCGTTCTTGAAACTTATCTCGTTTAAACTGAGTGAAACCTTTTTGTGAGTTTTTTATTTTGCATCTGTACTTAGGATTCCAAGAAAAACAATAGTTAGTTGCTTCAAATCTTGAGTGATATAGGCTCATCCTATGAAAAAAGATTAATATGGCAGAGCCTACTAACAAGCCTGCACATTCAGTTCCAGCGGGCAAAATTCTCACATCAGTAAAATATTGAATGTACCATTGGCAAGGTATTTATCTCGTCGGCGGCTTATATTCAATGGTTTTCTGGTATGGCAGCAATCCTGTTGGTTTGTTGTACCATTATTAGTATATTTGTGTAAACATTCTGTCGGATTAGCAATTTTGTTTAACTTGTATCAAGTTAGCGATAAAACACGTATTCAACTATTAGGTGAAACGAAAAGCAAAGGAGCGTCCCAAGACAGTTAGCACAGCTTTATTGTTCATTTGGTTAAAATCTCAATAAATATGTCAGTGTTGTACATTATACTTTGTTGAAAAATAAAAATGTGAGATGCATGCTGAAAAATTTGGTGATCATTTGTAGCTAAAGAATTCAATGATCAAAAGTATCTTTTTATGGTGATCAAAAAAGTTGTTACCGTGAAATAAAGATATTTTACGGGCGAGGTTCGCGTTTTTTGTTGAAAATTCGAGTTCCTTTGCGAAAAAAGATTCACAACCCAGTCTAGGAGCATCATTTTGACTTCAAATTCGCATCAGAGGATCTACAGTGTCTGTAGATTATCTAGCTAAAGTATGAAGATTAACTATTGTGTGGTTCTGGAAATTCAGTGATGAACTAAGGGCCGCTCTTTCTATTATAGAATGTGCATTCAATGTACATCATAATCATGAAAAAATAATCATAGAAATCTATGATTCCGAAAAGCATATGTGAAACTTTTGTCAGAAAGATTACACACTCATCTCTGACCTTTGCCATTTCACTTATTTTGAGCCCTTTTCACTTCCCTTCTATTTTCAAGCAAAACTAATAACATATTTGAGATCAGCAGACAAAACTGGATCTAATAGCATACTTAACATTCGGTTTTCGAACAAAAACCTTTTTGATTTATTTTTTTTATCTTATTGAAAATTTTCTTTCTAGTGGGAAGGCCGGACGTATATATACGTGTCCCGTCGTCAAAGGGTTAAATGATGTGAGTTGAGCATCGCGTTCAGTAGAAGAAAATTCTGATCGAGTCTAATTAAAGATGTTGGTTTTGAATGGTAGATTTAATTCAATTAAAATTTTGAAGGAACAGAGCGAGACTAAATCTCACATATCTCATGGTTATTCTAGACAACAACTTGGCAGCTTCGACTGAGTCTTTTCTTTTTCATCGTAAGAGTATTCATGTGAGAAAATTGATTTTCGATTAAAAGAAAAAAATGTTATTTTTTCCATTTGTCATCTGTAATTCTATTTTATTAGTACCACTTCAAAATGTGATGTATGAGGAACAAATTAACAAGCACAAAAGGGTTCATAATCACCTGAAATCTTCATATCTCTAGTGAATTAAGTTTGATTGAGTTCAAAAGGTATTGATTGAATCAATCATAACGAAACAGACGATAATATAGCTTAATAAATTTATATTTTGTCCTTAAACTAATTCCCATTACAAAAAGCTGTCTATATTTTTGCCTATGGAATAGAATAAATGTGAGAGAAAATTTATAAAATATCCAAAGAAATCTATGCTGGCCTACTGACAAATAAACGAAGTACATACAGGTTCCATGTGCTAGTGATTTACAATTTTTATTGATTTTTATAAATGCTGTTTTTAACTGTCGTTTAGAAATGGTCTGTTAGAGATCTTGCATTTTTTGTACTCTAAAATTTTCAGCTACAAGTTTTCCAAAATTTTCGTCTTGATGATGTTTGTTGAATTACAAGACCTTTTAAAAATACATTAACTCTACTACGATGATAATGGTCTTGTAATATATCAGATTAGATATATAGTACATTTGTTTCCTCTCTCTATTAAGTGAATGAATTATATGAATTGATATTGTTGTATAAACTTGTAAATTGAATATGCAGTTAATCTAAACCGAAAACACTTGTCCTAATAAACTCTAAACTAGTTGTTTTTATATAAACAAAACGATACATAGATTAAATATCACTCAAAGTGATACATGCATAAATTATGCACTTTTATAAGGAACATGATATGACGAACTCATACAGCTCAAATTAACACGTCCATTTTGAGAATATATAGCTAAATCTCATTAAAAATTAGCAGACATAGTCAAATGTTTTTTCTAAAATATTAGAGAAAATTATGTCCCTCGATAGATCACAATTAACTAATGATGATCTGATATATAATTGCACGTGTCTTTTACTCTCTCTCTTGCTCTGTCTTTCTAGATCTGGCAAAAAACATCTTGAGTAATTCCCATATTAACTTCAAAAACAGTAGGTGGCCTCAAAACTCATAATAGAATGCGGAAAAGGAAAGTGTTTTTTTTAAATGAAAATAATAATATTGTCTTTCTCCTATCACTTGAAATGTGTAAAAATATTTTCATTTCTTTTTCAATGTCAACTATATTATAAGCACACAAAACATAGACAAAAATTAACTTCAAAAGTGAAATGCTATTAAAATAAGAAAAGATGCCGACATGCAAATTTTTAGTAACATATTTAATTAGAAAATAGTAGTTCCCTCAGAGTCAAGTAGTATTTATCAATGGTCGACAAAATGTGTGTGATCTCGTACTTTTTGAAATTTCCTTAACGGTAAGACGAGAAGGATTATCATCCTTCTTCACAGAATTCTTGTTTCTATCAATAAGAATCTTTATTTCTTACTGAGGATATAACTCTTCGTAACGGCAATTCAATAAATATTAATTAAATAAACATTTTCTAAACATTTAAACTATATCTATACGATAAGATAAATTAACAAGTAGAATAAATTTACATGGGTTGACTTTTTTGAGAAACAGTACAAGATGATCCTGAATTATGAAATGGAATTATCTGATGATCATCGACTATTATTGATTTGTCACTACTATTTTGCGTAGAAGATGATGTAGTCATTTGTGAAAATACATTGTAGGGCACATCGGGTATTAGATGACTTGTTACATTCATATTAAATGTTGCATGATAACACGATGTTAATGATGGATTTGCCATGTAGGACGACGAATTAAAAGGTTTATTTTGAAACATGGCTGTCGTTGGAGTTATAAAGGCACTTGGTTGTTCTAAACATGAAGCATTTGGTGCTTGCGACCATGATGAAGGAAATTGAAATAATGCTTCGTTTTGTTGCCACTTGTGACTATCGACTAATTCTCCTTCATTGTCGATAACTGTTGTTGTTTTTGTGTCATTATTAACATCACGATCAGTAAAACATTCCAAATGTGACAAAAGACGAAGACGTAAAGGATGTTGTACATCGAAACCTTCATTTGATATCAGATACCGTGAAACTTCATCAATACCTGAAATAAAAAGTTTTCTGTCTAATTTGTGTTTTTATTGGGAAAATATAGCTTACATTCACGAAAACCTATGGAACGATAATCTGTCGAATCAAACGTCCAGTGAGATGAATCTAAAATGGAATATTCGATGTGTTAGAATAGTGGAAGAACAAAATAATAGTCCTATGTAATTACCTTTTTGTTGAAGTGTTCTCAAATGTTCAACAGTCATTTGTAAAATCTCTGCTTTTTCTAATTTAGTTGAACCTTCTTTTTGTATGGCTTGTGGTACAAGTCGTCTTAATTCCGCTAAACTATGATTAATTCTATCTCGTCGACGTTTTTCAATAATACCACGACGCTTTTTCCTATTATTCACATGTTCAAAATCATAAATCATTGAATTTGGACTAAGGCTGGAACTAGAATAATATAAACATGTTGTGTCAGACCGATAAATTACCTAACTGTACATCACTTACTCAATATTATCATCCCCACCATCTGAATCACTTTGGTACAAACGTTTCATGTCTTTTGGAAATGTTTGGTCATGAAAATGCATTTTAGTCACAAATTAGTTTTCTCCCATCGTGATTATCATCTCAATGCTATGCTTCTGCTTCTGTACATTGTATGTTATCAACCAATGTACACTTTTTCTTTTTCTCTTTCTCGTTCTGTTTTCTGTTCTTTCTTTATTTCCTCTTCTTCGACTAATTGGTCCCATGATGAAGTAAAACCGCGATATCGATAAGTTTTAAATTAAGGTAGCTTATCTTCATTTTTTTCTTTCGTTTTTTGGACAAGCTACAAATAACAGAGGAAACAATAGTGATTGATTTTTCTGAATAGCACACGCATATACACATATACATTGTGGCTTCTGAAAAAAGAGTAGATACTTGAATTTTAATTGAACATCAAGAGAGCGTCCCTTGTGATGTGTTCACTATTTTGTAAGATGAATATCTACTTTAACAGTGTTTGTGTATCGTGAAGGCTCACACTCCTCTTTTTTCTTATCAACTATAATCATTATCATCATCATCTGAACAAAGTTAAAAAGATCTACCGCTAATACTAAATAGGTTCGTTTCGTTTCCTGTCATTCAATACAACAAATTCTGAATATAAAGAAAAGAGAAGAACAATATTGCACACATTCAATAATTAAAAAGAAAGTCATACGCGTGCCTCAAAGTGTTTAGTAGATCATAGATGATTATAAAAAGTGATTTTCTTTCTAAATATCAACTTCTAATTGACAAATAGTTTAAAAAGTACGACAAAATTTGATAGCATGAGTTAGTTGATGGTAACAATTTTCATCGAAAAAACTTTACTGATTACTACGAAATATATTTTAGCTTGAAATTAATATAGAAGTATTATATTAGTTCAAGTATAAATGGCATTTTGTTTTGTTCTCTTTTGCCTTAAATACTTACACTGTTATAACTACTATCCATTTCAGAAAACAGTGTTCGCGGATATTTCAGAATAACTTGAGAGCAAAAAGCGATAGAGAAATACATTTTTTGCCATCTTGTAGAAGACACTTTACTGCACCTTTCTGAATATGAGAATTTTTAAAAACAGGATTTTCAGGTGGTGTGCCGGATGGACGAAAAAAGAAGAGATTGTTAGATATCGAAGACAAGACGAAATTTATCTTAAACTGCATGGTTAGATAGCTCAAAGTGTCCTCTACGCAACTCCTAGATCGCTAACTACCTTGGTTCTCGGATAGCATAGCTTTTGCTAGGATTCACTTATCTCGGTCTGGTTAGATCTAAAAATAACTTCAAACATAGGTTATCAATCATGCCGAACCTCGTGACAGCGTTTATTTCGAGAAGATAATTTAAGAGCCTAGTGAAAACCTACAATAGGTGAAATAATTTATTTTTAGCTATTTTCACCGAAAATTAAAAAATTCATAACTCGGCTAAAATTGATCCAGACTTTATACTCTATTTAGTATGCTACATCCAGCTCTGTAGTTAAGATTAGAAGAAAACATTCTGTCACTTTCAAAGGTTTCTGGAAAAACTGTCGAAAATCAAAGTACTTTTGATGGGTTTTAAAAACTTTTGTTGAAATTTAGAATTTACGGTAGATAGATTTTATTAGTTCTAAATCACTTATATGGAAAATTATCATGATTCGTTTGTTCTCTGGTTGAAAACAAGAGATAAAACGAATTTTGAGGTGTAGTGGTACCTGCTCTGTATCGGTATATGCTGTTTTCATTAACGGTGACGTATGAACATTGAAGAGGAAAATTATTTTTTTGAAAAAACTTTTTTTTTCTTTGATGTTTTGATATAATTCTATCTAATGGTGTGGAACACAAAAAGTTCATTTAATTTATTTATAATAATTAGTACTTGACTCGTTCTGTGCGAATTTAAAAGTAGATACGTAACGAACAAATAAGGATGAATGATGTGAAACATTAATCTGTTGAGAAAAACAGTGCAATGGAAATTTCACTAACAGCAAACATGAACGATGATCTCCAAAACTGTCATATAGAAAGAAAAAAAGTGAAAAAACATGAATCTATGTAGAATTTTAATCAGTAAAATAATAATGTAATTAAAAGATTTAAAATCATGCTGTACCACATGCTGCGTTCACTTTCCAAGAGATGAGGACATTAAATCATTCTTGATTCCACTATTCTAATACTTTAATACATTTGTCATTCATTTGTCAATCATGATAATAATAATGACGACATTTGAATTTAGATATGTACATAAATATTGTTTTAACAATCATTCCTAAAAGCTTATCAGCATAGACCTTAGGTCTAAAAGAGAAACTCCTACTAGAATATACAGTAGTAAAATTATAGACTCACTCTATACGCATGAAATGTTCGGACCCTTGTGAGGTCACTACGCTTTTTCCAACTAAATCGATATGTAATGTTTGTAGAGCAGACTCTTCTTTCAGAATGTCCTCTTGCAAAATTTTTGAAAGTGCTCTGTTGGTCCCAACACGATATTTTTATCAAAAATGAGAGACCATATTTCTGTACAAAATTATAGATTCGCTAGTATTTTTGTTTTTTTGACGGTGTGCAAAGTATAAATTCAGCCATCTAGATATAACCATTCGGTACATTTTTACGAAAAATAAATTCGACTGTACTGTTTTGGTGTCCAGGTACTCCGATTCAACTGAAAAGACATTAGAATTTTATTAAAACCGAAGCTATGCAAGGTTGTTAAGTGACCAAATTTGTCTGCTAATGCCGTCTGAAAGAGAATGAAAAGCTCTATATTTTAGACTAGCTTTGCTTCAGACGGAAAAAATTTACATGAAGTTTTAGAGAAACTCTTTCGAAACTACGGCGTTCATAACACTATATAGCACTCTTTCAAAAGTCTCTTTCACTCTACTCATGTGCCCTTTTATTAAGCTGAAGTTTCATAACACTTCTCTGAACAAAATAAGACGTTGAGGAACTCTCTGACATTTCTTATTGCAAGACCAGAGGATAGTAGTAAGAAAATCTTAAAAAAACTCATTGAAATGAAAGTGATATTTTTGTGTTAGTAACAACTTCTGTTGAACGAAGAATGACAAGAACAGTCGGAAAACGTCTAGTTCTCAGCAAAATAGCCTGTTCTATAGAACTGTCAATAAAACGAGCAATAACATGGTACACGCCTAGACAAAAGAATTCTACACATTTATATTTTGTTTCTGCTATACTATGCAAATAGCCTGTTCTATACAACTGTCGTCGAAAAATTCATTATTAATAAATTATACTATTTTCTCTCATCATACTCGAAACAATGTCACTTTCATCGCGGCGAGCTTTTTACAGATTTTTTCTCTACAGAGAACAAATACTATGGTTTATTATGTATTAATTGTATTGAATTTGCCAAAGATGAATTTCATATTGAGCATAGGATTGGTGCTTTTATTTATTCACCATACTGAAAGTTAAAGCATAAAGAACTAGAAGGTATATGCTGTTTTTATTCCTTGCATATGTGAAGGACCATAATTATATTTAGGCATTCGAAAACACGAAAACAGCGATATCTATAAAACATGGGATATTTCAGTTCAACAAATGATTGCAATTTGTTTACGTTATGTTGACAGAGACACTGGCACCATTGGAGAAGAATTGTTTAAAATGGAACCAATAACAGACCAAAGTGGAGAGGGTACATAGCTATGTACCTAAGCTAATTTGCGTGTGAGCGTGAACGAAAATATTCGCAATAAAATAGACTGATATTCCAAGATTTGATCATTCATGTTGCTAGCTCTTACTTATCCCACGATATCTCCAGTTGAAACGATTGTTACGTAAATATTTTCGAGCATCACGAGATGTTATATAGATATCGCTGTTTTCATGTTTTAGAATGCCTAAATATAATTATGGTCCTTCACATATGCAAG